CTTGGTTGGCATCTGTTTTCTTGGAGTCTGTTGACTATGTCCCTCCACTCTCTCCTTGCCCGTAGTGTTTCTTCAGAGAAGTCTGATGTCAGTCTGATTGGTTTCCCTTTGAATGTTATCTGTTTCTTCCCTCTTGTTAGTTTCATTATTTTTTCCTTGTCTTGGATTCTTGGGAGCTTTACTATTATGTGTCTTGCTGTATTTTTCCTTTTGTCATGGAAGTTTGGTGTTCTTCTTGCTTCTTGTATATCAATTTTCAGATCCTTCTTCGCATTTGGGAAGTTCTCTTCAATTATATCCATGAATATTTTCTCTATTCCTACATCTTTCTCCTCTCCTTCTGGGATTCCTATAACTCTTATATTTCCTTTCCTCAGGGAGTCAGATAGTTCCCGAAGTCTTTCTTCGGTCTTTTTCCTTCGTACTTCTCCTTCCTTTTCTGTTTTAGTTCTTTTTATTTCTGTGTCTTCAAGAGTACTTATTCGTTCTTCCATTTCATCTATTCTGCTTTCATTGCTTTTCCCAGAGTTCTTTAGCGTCTCCATTAATTCTTTGATCTCCTGCATTTCTTTTACTTCCCTCTTTAGGGACTCAATTTCATTCTTCTGGTCATTAATTATTTTCCCCTTATCATTGTTTTCCTTTATGACTTCTGTCAGTTTTTTAATCACAGCAATTTTAAATTCTCTATCTGGAAGGCTCAGAAGTTCTTCCAAGTTACTGTCGTTGCAATCTGGTAGATGGTTTTCTTTTTGCGGTGTGCTTTTTTGCTGAGGAGTTGCTGGGTTGCATGTGGTTTTTCTACTCCCTACTGCCTGTTTTCTAATTTGCCGTATTCCTTGTGACACTGTGTTGCTGGTACTGGCCGGCATCTTGGGCGACCTTCCCAGCTCACCACTGTCTCCTCTGGGGAACTTCTGCTGGGTTCACAAGTCTCCAGCAAAGAAAGGTCCCTGCTCTGTCTCCTCGGTGAGCCTTCTGCTGGGTTCACACAGTCTCCAGCAAGAAAGGTCCCTGCTGCAAAATGCCGGTGCCGGGGACGCGCTCCCCTGCACGCCTGATCTGCCCCAGTGGTGGGTGCTGCTCCTCTCTGGGCTGGAACTGCAGGCTAGAAGGCGCCCAGCATGGGCAAGCCTCCCAGCTTACCTCTGTCTTCTCGGTGAGCCTTCTGCTGGGTTCACACAGTCTCCAGCAAGGAAGGTCCCTGCTGCAAAATGGCGATACAGGAACACGCTCCCCTGCACGCCCGGTCTGCCCCAGCGGTGGGTGCTGCTCCTCTCTGGGCTGGAACTGCAGGCTAGAAGGCGCCCAGCATGGGCAAGCCTCCCAGCTTACCTCTGTCTCCTCGGTGAGCCTTCTGCTGGGTTCACACAGTCTCCAGCAAGAAAGGTCCCTGCTGCAAAAAGGCGATGCGGGAACGCGCTCCCTTCCTCACCTCTTAAATGGGGTTCAAAGTGTCCACTTCTCAGGCTGTTAGAGAATAAAAGGAACCAACGGCAGCAGTTACTGTCTTAGCATTTCCTCAATGCCAGTCTCCATGCTCAGGACTGTCAGGTTTTCACTCATTTCTTGTGCATAGACCCATTTTACAGATGAGGAGGAAACGGATGCACATGGAATTTTTTGATTTTTTTTTAAGATTTATTTATTTATTTATTTATGCATACAAGTGCTGGGATATAGGCCAGAGGTGCAGGGGTGGGGAGAAGATTCACCAGAGACAAAGGTAGGGAGCAGAACAGGCAGATTCACAAAATACACTGCTAAAGGGAGCAGCGGGTGAAACAGGAGAGGTCTGCTGTGCCATGTGGGTAATCTCACTGGCCAGGGATCGAACTTGTGCTGCAGTGGCTGCAGATAGCTTTATAGGCACACGGCATTGTTAAGTGACTTGCTGGGAGAGGCAGATCCCCCAGGTCTGACTCCCCCAGGTTAAGTGACTCTTGACTCCCATGCACAGTAAAATTTGGCACTTAGCATGTACCAGTGCAAGTAAATTTCTTCTCTTTGAGATGGTTTCTAGAAGGTTCCATTAATGGTACGTGTTGGTGTCACTACCTTTAGTTGAACTCTGAGATCTGTCAGTTTCTTCTGATTTATTTGCCTCTTACTCTACAGCCCCCTGAATGGCTTCCATTATAGCTCCAAGTTCCTGAGGTAACGGCCCTGCAACTGAACTCTATTTTAATCCCTTAAGCCCTTCCTTGAGGGGCTATGGGTAAGAGCTGGGGTTCTGTAGCCGGACCAGCCTAGCTTATGCACAGACCAGCTGTGTGACGCAGGCAAGTCACTTCCCCTCCTCAGTTTCATTTACTATTGTCCTCATGGTGGCCCTCTTCTCCTGGAGGTGCGTGGCACTGTGATAAAGTCAGGCAGATGCAGCACAGGGCACTGGAAATGGTGCCCAAGCAATAGTAGCAGGTGTGGCCATTAATGCCCAAACCATCAGAGCCAAGATAATCCCATCTCTACCCCAGTGCGCGCTAAGAATAGTGCCGACGGCAGTTTCCATTGACTGTGTGCACAATGTGTGTTCCTCTCTGCCTGGGGATAAATTGTCCCTCTCTCTGCTTGCTCCAGGGAGGCTGGGGAAAGGAAGGAGCACTTCTGGATCATGCATCATATACCATCTGTAAAATGGGGATAAAAATAGAGCCTCTTTCTCCCGGGGCTCTGCAGACCAGCAGCATCCTGCTGATAAAAACCCTCCGCGGAGTTGCTCAGCAGACGGGAACTGCTGTTATCATATTGGCTCTGCCCCGTTGAGTTACAGTGGCCCTGGCTTGCCTCCTGGCCCTGGGCCGAGCAGCTTGGCCTAGCGGTGGGGCCCATGTGATGCCTCCTTCCGCTATTCGTTATCTGACATCATCTCCCATGATGGCCCATCTGCTCCTGCCGGCCCAGACCTTTTGTTCTTTGCACACCGCTGTGCAGAGCCGATCCTTTCTCTTTACTTCCACCCTCTTCTCCTCCCTTCCTCTCTGATCAGAACACCTTCACCACCATCTTCCTGGAGGACCTCAGCCGCGTCCTCCTGGCTACCCTGTTTCCAGCCTTGTCCACTGCAGCCTGTCCTCCCAGCAGCCGAAGGGAGACTGTGCCACCTCCTTGAAACCTTCGGTGGGTCTCCTACAGGCTGAAATAAGCCCAAACATTGCATTCTGGCTCAGAGCCTCTCAAACGTGAGCCCCACTCACTTCCTCAGCATCACCTCCCCCTCTCTCTCCCTGTTCCTCTCTGTCCAGCCACACCGGGCCATCTTCCTGTGCTGCAGCATCTAGATTGTTCCTGTTCCTCCTCAGGGCCTTTGTGTTTGTTCTTTCCTCTACCCAGGGGAGTCTTCCTCCAAAATCTGCACAGCGCCATCTCCTGTGCATCCTTTAGAGCTTAACTTAGAACTTGCCTCGGCTCCTCTACCTTGAGGTCATGCTTCTGAGTGACACCTCTGACTCCTGCATGAGGAAGGGCTGGCTTTGCCCTGCCTGGGCAGAGTGACAGCGCCCACCTCCCAGATATGGCTTGAGGGCAAAGGGAAAACCCACGAGCTAGAGCTAGAACCTTTAGCGCTTGACAGGAGATCTTCAATGAATGTCCCTCCATGCACTCTCCCTGCCTTCCCTTGATGTGATTATTATTCTAACAGCTGGGCTGAGCAGATGGGACAGTCTGAAGAAGATGTTCCCTGCCCAGTTTGGAAGGAAATGATCCAGGTGGACTGTACCCACAAACCCACTCCCTGCCTCACCCCCGAGGTTGGTCTGTTATCATCAGGGCGGCCTCCACCTTGGACCCACTGTTTTTCTTTTAGAGATCAAGGGGGTGTCCTTACTCAGGGCCACAGGCATCAGAGACTGTGAGTCATTTCAGTAGTCTCAGGCCTGCCTTTTTTTCTTTCTCCTGTCTGTCGGCACTAGCCTTAATGCCATTGGCTGCTTTGGAGGAGCAGTGTTCTAGCAGTTGAGAGTGTGAGCTTGTCTGGACAATGCCTGGGATGCCTTTGCTCCTTGTAACTGCATGACTGCCCGTCAGGCATCTTCCCTCTCTAAGCCCCGAGTGTTTCCCTTAGGTGATCTCTAACGGTGTTCTGTGCTCAGATCTTGTAGGCTTCAGAAGTCAAGGGGAAACTGCCAATTGCAGGATGGACTTGGGGTTTGTGTAAGGATGTGGTTTCTCCAGGGGGCCATGTAGGTGATTGCATCTATCTTGATGGCTTTACTTGGCTAAGAAAAAAGACCTACTGTGTGCACGTGGTCAGAAGGATGACAAAGAGAAACGCTTATGTTGCTGGTTCTTAATCTTTGTGGGTCTAGGGAAAGTTGTGATCCCAAGAAAATGCTCAGAATACTTTGCATAGTGTTTAAAAGGTTCATGACTCTGAAATCTGCTTAAGAAAGATCTTCTCAGCAAGGCCCACTGGACTTTAATACCTCTTCCAGGAAGCCTTGTCTGACCCCCTCCTGAGATCCCAGAAGCCCCAAGTGCTTCTCTTTCCATGCCCATCAGGAAGGATGTTGTTATCTATCCCTGCTCATCTCCCCCACAGGGGCAGGGGCTAGGCTGACTATTCCCCGCATGCCCTGTGCCTGGCACTGTATGGGCATCAGCAAATAATATTGAATGGAACTGACGACCAGCTCCTGACACTGGAGCGGTGTGGCCTATTCACAGGGTGGAGGTGGGTAGCACCTGTCCAATTTTGAATGGGCTCAGAACCCAGCTGCCTCAAATGCATATATATTTGCTTGCCCCAGTTGTGGACTGAGAAGTGGTTATGAAAACATGAGAGTTGCCTGTAAATCGTCCTGTTGCCCCAGAGGAGCTGGGCTGGAGGGGAAGGCAATTTGAGGAGGCATTCCCTTAAGGTCTCTCTCCTCTCCTCTCCTCTCTTCTCTTCTCTTCCCCTCCCCTCCCCTCCACTCCCCTCCCTACCCCACCCCTCCCCTCCCCTCCTGTCCCCTCCCCTCCCCTGTCCTCTCCTTTCCTCCTCCTGCTTGATCCAGTTGGAGCAGAGTGAAGCCAAGTGTGAGGATGCATTGAAGACCCAGAAGGCTCTGACTGCAGACCTGGAGAGCATGCACAGTGAGCTGGAGAACATGACCCGGAACAAAAGCCTGGTACTTGTCCCTTCCTGGAGCTGTGCAGACCTGGCCAGCATAGCCTCTGAGCTAGTGCAGCCTACCAATGTGTGCTTAGTACTGGGGAGCTGCATCTCATAGGAACCTACTGTTTGCTCAGCACCCTACATGGGAACACAACTTTCTCTCATGTGTCCAGAGCATGCGCACTTGTGTAAATGGTTCTTACACATCTGTTGCAGTCCTACTGTGCACCCACTACCATAAGAAAGAACTTGGCCATTTTAATTGGACTACTCCATACCTCATCTTGTACATATAAATAAGAGCATCTCTCATGTGCCCAAGTAAGTTCACTACTAGAAAGAGCCCAACAATCTATTATGGGCCTGCAGTGGGCTCACCACTGAATGGTAACACATGAACCTATATTATGAATACACTATGTTGGTGAAAACTAAGTCACCTGTGTGTACAGCATTGGCTTATGTTTATACTTGATGTGTAAAGCCCTAAAGTTTAGGTGTAGCTAGAAATTTATAGGCAAAAATTTGTCTTAAAGATTCCTGTTAGCCTCTTTGTCCCAGACTTTATTTGCATAAGATTAAGGGGAACTTACCACAAACACATTCTCTCTCTCTTTCTCTCTCTCTCTCTCTCTCTCTCTCTCTCTCTCTCTCTCTCTCTCTCTCTCACTCACTCTCTGTCACACACACACACACACACACACACATACTCACACACACACAGAGCTGTCATACTCATGGCATGCATCTGACATGCCGTGGCCACCCCTATAGTTAGATGTCCACTCTACTTACAGGAACCCCCCTTTGTTCTTCATCAACCCCCCACTGTCTCCCTCCCAGCTACCCTTCTGCCTTACCTACCACTGTCCTGCCTCCCGCCAGGTAGATGAGCAGCTGTACCGGCTGCAGTTTGAGCGAGCGGACCTCCTGAAGCGCATTGATGAGGACCAGGATGACCTGAATGACCTCATGCAGAAGCACAAGGACCTCATTGCTCAGGTAACACCCTTAAGAGGAAGAAAGCTTGGCAGCCTCGGGTTAGGTAACAGAGATACTGAGGGAGTGATGTGGTCGAGCATTCCCTGCTCTTAGGACCTTGGAGGGATAAATGCCACAAAGATAGGTAGGAATTGTGAGCATTTGTGTGGCCTTCAAAGAGGAGAACATCACTTTTAGCTGCCCTGTGCCTCTCTGGAGGACATCTCCACCAGGAAAGATTTTGATTTATTTCTCCATCTACCCACCCTTATACCCATCCAGCTGCCCATCAAAATACTCATCCCTCCATTGTTCATCTGCTCTTCGATCCACCCATTCACTGTGCATCTTTTGTCAACCACCTATGTATCTATTCAGCCTCTACCCACTTACCCACTCATCCACCTGTCCATCCCCCCACCTCTCCATCTACCTGTTAATTAAGTCAATATTAGCTGTATACCCACTGTGTGTTAGCTACTGTGTGAAATACCAAGGCCACTGCATTGATTGAAAGCATATTCTATTCCTGCTTTCATGTAGCTTATAGTTTAGTGAGCTGAGAAGTCTTATGCATTGTCACCCAGAGCAGAGAGGAGCCTTAAATCTGAGCTAAGAATCCTGACTCAGGTGGGTGATCAGGTAGGCCCTCCCTGAGAATGTGTCATGTGGATGGAGAGCTGAATGAGGAGCAGGAATTAATTAGTTGGAGTGGAGTGATGGGGGTGAGGGCGTGTTCCAGGAAGAGGGGAGATGCAAGCACAGAGGGCCTGTGAGTGCATTTGAGAGGCTAGAGAGGGGAGCAAGACATGAGGTGAGCTCAGTGAAGCCAGCAGAGCAGGAGGGGGTCACCCCATAAGCTGTGACCAGTTTGGATTTATTCTATATGTGTGGTAGAAGTCATTGGCAAGCCTTTAAACTTACAGAGCAGGAGGGGCGCAGTAGCCAGGGTGCCACCTCGACTGTCAGCTCTGTGATGACAGGGTCTCCCGTCTGGTCAGATGCTGAATCCCAGAGCCTGGCATGGAGAGGCACTCAGGGAGAAACTGTTGAACAGTGAAATCTGTGTTGGAAGAGAGAAAATGGCCACTTGTGCTAGGGAGGTGGATGAGAGAAGGGGAGGAGGGAATGGACCCTGGCGATAATGAGGAGGCCTGAGGGCAGGATAGGCTTTGGGGTAGAGCTAAGGAATGCAAGAGGAGCCTGAACAGATTTGTGATGTACCAGGAGCCCAGCTTCCTCGGCGAACACAGGGAGTGTCTTCTGAGCACACCATATCCCAGAGGAGAGCCTCAGTGGGTGCCTGCTGGGCTTCAGATGCATCCTACAGAGATGCAATCTGAGGGAGTTTCTGCTCAACAAGGTATAATAATCACAACAATAATCAATCATATCATCAACATTAGAACAGACACCACAAAAGTAGTCTGTGCCAACTTCTGCATTTGTTATCACACTTATTTGTATTCATAATGGAATTTTCTTTATTTGTTCAACTGCGAAAGAAGTGTATCCATATGCCCATTATAAATCACTTAAGTAATAAATAGATGTGTAGCACTGAAGGTGCTGCCCTCTGGAATCCCTCTCCGGAGAGAATCACACTTGACAGTTTGGGACTGCATTTTTTTTTCAGGGATCTTTACTCTCCACTGTTTCATTTTATTTCTGAACAAACCCTCTGTAGAGGGGCTAGGCAGAGACTATCTCAATCTGTTTTACAGTCGGGGTTAGTGAAATATAGAGAGGTTGTGTGGCCTGCCAAGGCCAGTTTCTAGAACTAGAAATCCCAGTTACTCTCCACTCAGAATAGTTTCCTTCCCTCAAGATCTGGTCCCGGCGCCTTGGCCAGACCATTTCTGTCTGGGCTGTAAGGGCATATAATAAGGTGCTAGACAGTTGGCCTAAGCTACTAACTTATCTAACAGGAGTGACTCAGAGACCACTGGGATGAAGAATGCTGGGGAAGAGGTGAGAGGCAACTTTTCAAGGCAGCTATTGTCACAAAGACTCTGAGAGACGCAGGCTTCTGTGGGTGCAGGAAGAAGGGATGCCAGCAGTGGTTTCCCAGCAGAGCCTGCGGTCTCAGGGTGGCGCGTTTTGTCTTCCAGTCTGCCGCGGACATTGGGCAGATCCAAGAACTGCAGCTGCAGCTGGAGGAAGCCAAGAAGGAGAAGCACCAGCTTCAAGAACAAGTAGGTGCTGAGAGCTGCCAAATTGTGGGGGAGGAAAAGAAAGCTTCCCTCTGGGGCCTCACAGCTGAATCCTGGAGCCTGTCACTCACAGAGCCTCAGTGGTATGCCTGATGAAGTGAGGGCAGCCCCAGCAGACGAGCAGATGGACACACATGCTCACTCTTTCCTGTACCTGTTAAGCATCCAAAGCTGCCCCATGCCTGAGGCGCCCCAGCCATTCAGTGCAGGGTTTTCTCCCTTTGAGAAATGACTCTGAGGAAAAAGGAGATGATCTGTGCAAGACAGATCATCATCTTCTGTGAAATCTTCCCTTGAAATCATGATTTCTCCAAACATCCTCGGATTTCCCTCACTACCTACTAGGTTGCTGTTCTCAGGAGATTCTCCAAGCCCTTCTAGAACTGTGGCACGTGCCTACTTAGAGTGGCCATCAGAGTGACAGGTTCAAGCACATGTCTATGGGCACCGAGTAACAAGAAACATAAAAAAATCATCCCAACAGGGGCCACTTACTGGGCTTTATTACGTATCAGGATCTAATCCCCTTCAATCCTCATAATAAAATGAAGAAATGAGGCTCTGGAAGGGAATCAACTTGCCCAGGATCATCCAGCTAAAAATGACGGAGCAGGCCTAGAAGCCTGATATATATGCTCAGCTCCTAAACCCACCCTGGGCTGTGTCCTTTGAGGCTGGAGCTTGCCGCCCACAGATCAGCTCCTTCAGCAGAACAGGGGTTGGAGGAAAAAAGGAGCCCTGATTGAAAGTCCTGATTTGGATGTTGAAGGCACAGGAAATCTTGCCCCCCAGCTCTTGAGATCCAGGGTGGGGGCCAGTGTGGAGTCTTCAGGTAGGAACCTGGCCACTCTTGCTTGTCTTTTAACATATAGCTCCTGAGGAGGCCATGCACATGGGCCGGGGCTGGGGGCTGGCTTCTGCATGTGTCTCGGTTCTGGGATTCAGAGCCAACAGGTGGCCAGTGGAACCCTTGTGTTTGTCCCCAGCTCCAAGTGGCTCAGATGCGCATCGAATACCTAGAGAAGTCCACTGTGGATCGAGCCATTGTCAGCCGGCAGGAGGCCATCATCTGTGACCTGGAGAACAAGACAGAGTTCCAGAAAGTGCAGTTGAAGAGATTTGAGGTACTTGTCGGCATGTAAATCTTGCTTCGCCTATAGCAGTGAGAGATTTTATGTAAGCTCTGTCCATCCTTCCACCATCAATCCAGCTATCCATGCCTATGCCTTTATCTGCCTTTTTCAGTCACACTGTCCCACAAACCATCCATGCAACCCACCCACCACCATCTATTCCTCTCCATCCCTTTACACCATCAGCCATCCATCCATCATCCCCTGCACTCGACCCTCTTCCTTTCTCTCTCCATTCTTTCTTCAGCCCTATCTGCCAATTTCTTTATCCATGTCTCCAGTTCTACCCGTCTCTATCCACTCACTCATCCACTTATGTGCCTGACACTCATTTTGAGTAGAAATCTATTTTGCACCTGGTATATGCTAGGCTGTCTTGGGTGCATGGAAGACAGATGTATATAAAAGATTCTGATTTCCAGATACATGGAAATTTGTAGGAAATATGAATAAGATGTGCACACAGACACCCATAAGATGAATAGAGGCTTGGAGGATAGAAGTTCTTTCAGATTGGGGAATCAGAAATACTTCAGGAGGAAGTGACATTGATCCTGGACCTTGAAGGACAAGTAAGACATGGATGGGCTGGGGAAGGGAGTCAGTGATGACATTCACACTTCGCCCAGTAGGTTGATGACTTGACTCCTTCCATATCAGTCACTCCACTTGATGTTTACTGCAGCTCTGTTGGGTGGGTTGGATAGGTCTCACATAATGAATGAGAAGATGACCCCAGAGAGGTCAAATGACTTATTCGAGATAAAGCAGGCAGTGTCAGTGACACTTGATGCTCACTCCAGCCTGGTCCCAGGCTACAGTTTCTATGCGGCCAGCTGGTTTACCCATACAACAGTAGGCCCGGACAATGGGAGGCTGCATTACTGATTCTGAAACATTTTCACCCAACATTTTCTCCCAGTCCCCTGTTGGGGTTTTGTTTTTTTAAGGTTTATTTTTATTTATTTATGCATACAAAAACTGGGGTGTAGGCCAGAGGTGCAGGGAATAAGAGGATTTACCAGAGACAGAGTGGGGAGTAGAACAGGCAGATCTACTGAAATACACTGCTGAGGGGAGAAGCAGGCAAGGCAGCAGAGGTCTGCTGCGCCATGTGGATTAGCTTCGTGGCCAGGGATCGAACTCAGGCTGTCGTGGTGATAGTGCTGAGACTTAACTCCTGTGCTACCAGGGAGGCCCTGGGGTTTTGGTTTCTAAGAAGACTGCTGTGGATGTAGGACAGAGAAAACTTTTCACTTTGACCCTCAGTGGTTATCAGAACTGCTCAAGGGCCTCCTCAGGGCATAATTGTCCCTGCAGATCATTATGAAATTTTGATCCATGTATTTAAACGATTAAGTACATAATGCTATATCATAGTTTTGTTTATTATTTTTATTTGATTCTAGCATAATTTAGTGATAGTGAAGAAGAAAACAACATGATGGCAGAAAAATCATTAAACAGCAGATACTTTCTCCAAATTTACTTTCTGCCCCTGTCACCGTGATTTAGATTTAGTAGAACCCCAAGTCCTTGGGATGGGGGTATTAGCAACCCAATTTAAGAACTACTCTTGATCCTATAGCCCCCTGCTGCCCTTAGAAATTGTTGTTAAACTCCATTTGAAAGGCAAAGGAGAACTCAAGAGTAACACTTTTCTTTTCGACCATTATTCAGTCTCTATGTGAGACTCAGCATCATCAGCAACAGTTGGGCATGTCCATGTGGGCTCCGTTTATGTCAGCACCTGAGTATTGCCCATCAGAATCATTTGGTTCCAGGCTTGTTGTCCAATTAATGAATTCTGCAGAATAGCCCTTGGGTTTGTTTTATATTGTACTGGTGATGCTCACAGCTGTTTTCTCTCTATTGGTTTCTTGTGTTCTTGTGGCTTTTCCCCCCTGAACAAGGAAAATACCATAAAACATTAGAGCTGATGCTCATGGGGATTATCTGAACAAACCTCACTTTACATATCTGGAAACCAAAACCCACTGAACCCCTTCACTTCCCAAACCTTGAGATGAACGAGGGCTGCTACAAACATTATCATTCCCAACCCTTATCCAGCATGTCCTACGTGTGCCAGGCACTGGGCTAATAAGCCTTTTGCATAGCTTCACATGTTCAGTCCTGACAGCGTTCCTGGGAGGTGGTGCTGTCATCATCCTGTTCTCTCAGAGAGGTGAAATAACCTCCCCAAGGTCACACAGCCAGGACGAGGTGGAGGCGGGATGTGAACGCAGAGCTCAGCGTTCTCATAAATATGCTGCAATGCCTCTCAGCTGTCATTTTCTAATTTTGTGTCAGGAAGCAGGATCATCATCCTGACGACTTCATAAAAATGCACAGAGATTCACGCCTGTCCTCTGACTCCAAGGCGGGCCTGTGCTCTCCACCTCATCCCCAGGTCCTGGTGATCCGGCTTCGGGACAGCCTGATCAAGATGGGTGAGGAGCTCTCGCAGGTCGCCATGTCTGAGTCCCAGCAGCGGGAGAACAGCCAGTATTACCAGCGGCGCCTGGAGGAGCTGAAGGTGGACATGGAAGAGCTGGTGCAGCGGGAGGCCGAGGCCAGCCGGAGGTGCATGGAGCTGGTGAGTGCAGCCGTGACCCTGGCCTCTCATCATTACAGACTCAGGATGGAGAGAGCCCTTATTCCTTCTGAATCAGAGTCTAGTGTGTTTCTCTCTGGGGCCTTTTGTGTAGGTCACAGGAGGAGGGGGCGAGACAGGGCAGAGACAATGCTGCCACTGGTTGCAAACCCTGCACTGGACCCAGAATGGAGCAGTGGCATTGACTGCCATGGGACGGCCACCTGGCACGTTCCGCTCCAGAGGCAGGGCAGCCTCCTGCAAAGGGGAGAGGCTCAACAAGTCCTAAATGTCTACTTTGCAACCATAATATCATATAAACCTCTCAACAACCCTGTCAAATCAGAATTATTACATTTTATAGATGAGGAAACCGAGACTGTTAAGGTGTGAGATGACTTGACTGAGGTTATGCTGGTAAAAATCAGCCCTCGATCTGGCCTGTGAAGAGCAACACCATAGATAAAGCGATCATGTTTGGGCTACCATTTATTAAGCATTTGCTAAGTGCCAAGTTATGGCTTAGACGCTTCTCATTTAAATCCTGGTATCAGTACTGTGAAGGGGGTACTAGTCTTATCTCCACTGTACAGATGGGGAAACAGAGGCATGGGGGCATCAGCATTTCTGACTGAGGCTCGGCATGCCACCTACACTTGCCCAAGGCTGCATGCCAGGCACAAATCCAGGCCAATTCTGTGGCCTCTGCTTTTGGCGCCGAGCCTCCTGTTATGTCCAAGAACGTTATAAAATCTGTTTCCTGCCCAGTGGGAAGGATTCTCTATCTAGCCTGGTGAGCTCTTCCCAGAACAGTTTCCTGTAGGGATCTTACAGTGCCTCAGAAAGCCTGCTCCTCCTTTCACATGAGGCCACAGATCCTTAAGATTCCATATTTTTGCTTCTGTGCCTCAAGGAAGATCAGACCCACACTTTGCCCACCACCATAGAACCTTTGCTGAAACAACCCACAAGGCACCAAGGCTTGGCCAGAGATCTCTAAATCACAGCCATCTCCTTCCTGCCCAGTCCTCCCTGGTTTGGCGACGGGTCTCACCAACTTGTCTTCCTGCAGCAAGTGTATTTCTCAGGCTGCTAGTTCCACGGTTGGTGTCATTCCCATCACCTTGCCCTTTGACAAGCCAGTGACCGCCTGTTGTTTAGGAAGAGGTGAGGCTCCGCATGGAGACCTGGATCCCAGACAAAGTCCAGGCCCATGACTGGCACTTTCTCCACCCCCATGGCAGAGAGAGAGAAGGGGAGAGTTGGGGGGCACAGGATAACTTCCTCATTAACCAGCCCTACTTCTCATGCAGCTGAGCTCCCCTCCTGCCAGCCTTGGCTGGGAATAAGAGAACATCCCTGGCCTTTCTCAAACTCTGATGTCTTCTTTAATTGGCCAGACACCCAGGCATTTCGGCCAGATCAGAGTGGCAAACATTTATTGAGTCCTTCTACGCCCCCATCCTTTGCAGATGTTGTCTTCCTTCATTCTTAACATCACTGCCAATAGGTTGAGGTAGGGCATGGAAGGGCCTTCCCCAGGACTGTAGGGTCAGGAGAGGCAGAACTGGGATCAGGGTCCCTGTGTGTCTAGCTCTAAGGTTATCACAGTGACATCTTGCTGGCCTTTCAACCCAGCCCTGAGGAACAATGGCTCTGCTGTGGGAGACCCCAAAAAAGGATCCCACACTCTGGGCCCGGTGAGATGCAAGGAGGATGTTGATGGATCTCCCCAGTGTCCCTTTCCTCCTGTCACCCAGCGTGTGCCATTTGTCACTGCTGGTGTTGGTTTAAAGGGCTGCGAGTTGTTTCATGTGAATGATTTACACCTTTCACTGGCGCACCGGCACGTCCAGATCAGAATCAATTACCCCGCCACTGGAACTTCTCTTCCTGGAAGAAAGAAAAGTGAAGTTTTGCCATTAATTTTAGTAAATGTACTATTCCTGGTGACTCCAGGAGCCATTATGGAAAAAACAGTCTGGCGCTACGTCATTCCAGCTCCTTTATCGTTGGAGCGATGAGACAGCTCATCCGTGGATTTATGCCCTGTTGTTATTCCATAGTCACAGGATGCAGGGGGAACCCCCTCAGGCCCAGGGCAGGGAGCCAAGGGGAGGCAAGGGGCATTGGGAAGAGAGTCTATGGTTACCAGAAGGACTTTTGGTCCATGCACCTGTGCTGGAGGCTACTCCTGTTGGGTTTACCCTTCATCACCTCGACCTGACTTGCAAGTCTCAACTTTGCCTTGAGCCCCATGTCCTTTTTGCAAGCTTCCCAGGTCTTGGAAAACTTAGATGGCACTTCCGCTCAGTCTTAGCTATCCACCCAGGAACACAACTAGAATCTCCAGACCTGTCTCCCACTGGCTCTTGAGGATTAGTGGTCACTTCTGATTGTACCCTATTAAGGTATCTTTCTAAGTCCATCCACTTCTGTCCCATCCTTGCTTCCTCTGTCTTTATTTAACATGCAGCCTCTCTGGTCTGGGCGCCTACAGGTACATTCTAAATTGTCTCCCCACTTTGCTTAACTCTTGCTCCTCCCTGAAGAAAATCTTTCCAGAATGGCACATTTTACCATGCTACTCTTCTGCTGAGAAATCTTCCATGGCACTCCATTGCCTTCATAACAAAGCTCCAACTCCTTCCCCTGGTCTACAAGAGCCTCTGCAGATTTTTTCTGCTTGTCAACTCCTGGTATGTTTTACTCAAGCATGAAAGGAAGTGTTCAGGGCCCAACAGTATGTTATTTCTTGACTCCCTTTTTTCTCATGCATACCTCTGCCTGCCTACTCAACCTTCAACATTTAGATCAGGCATCACCTTCAGGAAGCCCTTTTGGTTATCTTTACACCTTGCTGGGTTAAGCACCTTCTTTGTGTTCCCACAGCCTTCTGTGTGCACAACACCCATGCATGTATCACCCAGTTATTGTAACGGCTTGAGTTCTTAGAACTCCAGAGAAAGGGTTTCGACTCAATTCGACTCTGAGCCTCCACCCCCAGTTCAGGGTCATGTGCAAGGCAGATTCACAGTAACTGTTCACTGAGTAGGTTCTTCAAACATCACCTGAACCCTGTAAGGCATCAGATTTACCTCTTTTGAGATCAGCTCAAAACATATGTCTTAAAAATTGAAACTGTTGAGATGAACACAACCTACTATGCGCTATTTAGTAAATAGCCTGTCATAAGGGGAGGGGTGTTCAGACCTGAATGGAGCAGGTCTGTGCTCTTGGAGAGCACACCATCAAGAAAGGAGATGCTTGTGTCCCTAAGGGACTCTCATACAAGATGGGATACGTGAGTGAAGGAGGAAGTCATTTGCTACAACCAGGAGCCCCAGAGAAGATTGCATGGAGGATGCACCAGTGGATTTCTTAGATGAAGCAATATTGGGTGGCAGCTTTGGGGGAGCCATCGCCCCATCATGTTCAGCGTGACCACCTCGCACTGGCATTCAGCAGCTGTCTAGTGAATACCTGCTGCATGTCAGGCAATGCCCAGGTCTGCAGAAAGGCAGAGATACACCAGAGAGAGGGATCTAAACACACCTTCTCCTTCCTCTCTTCACCTTCTCCTTCCTCTCTTCTCTTCCTTCTTTCTCATCGAAGGCCCAGTGAAGGACAAATGCAAAATCACTTCCTCCCTATTGTCTTCTGCTTCCTGCTGTTTTTTAGCTCACACCTGTCTAGTCTCAGACATGTCCCCACCTCTCCCTCCTGCTCTCACGGACTTGTTTAGAATGTTGCGGGGAGGCTGCAGATTAGTTTCTTTAGGGGCTACCTCATTAATTACCAAAAATTGGCAGGGTTAAAACAACACAGATTTTTTCTTTCACTGTTCCAGAGACCAGAAATCTGAAATCAAGGCTTTGGTAGGGAGCTACACTCTAGAGCTGTACTTCCTCATAGCTCTAAGGGAGAGTGCTTCCTTCTTTTTCCAACTTCCAGTGGCTGCAGGCATGTCTTAGCTGCTGCAAGCTAACTAATCCCTCCCTTCACATGGTCTTTGTCTTTGTACCTGTCCTCGTCTTATAGGGGAACTAGTCGTAGGAAGGAAAAAGACAGTAGCAGCTCCAGAAAAACCTAATCCCAACCTTTCCAAGACCCAGAGGCAACTTCACAGCAGAATCTAATTCTGAGTGGAATTGAAGGCCTCGCTGCAGACTATGTACTTTTAATAATGTTTAAATAAAACATAGGAGCATGGGTATGATCTCCTTACTGAGCCTGGCTTGTCAGCTGCCCGGGTAGAGTCATAAATAGTTAATAGACAACCACTTATGGTTCTACTTCTGTTAAATCCAGCATCAATTATATATGGTCCATGCATTATTTACGTGGTGTTACTTTGGGGTATATTTTCTACCTTCAGTGGGGAAAAGGAAAAGAATGTGAGGCCTGAAAACAAATGAGAGGGTAGCTCCCTTCTGTATTGGTGCATTTCCCTGTAAGGAGAAAGCCTCCCATTGACATGATTGAGAGATTAGAGTGAACTTGGACCTGAGAGGCCTTTGCCATACCACCAGGAAAAAAGCTTGGGACAGTGCTGGGCTCAGAGGTGTTTAGCAACCAGTTCTCCAGGCTCAATGGAGTCTTGATTTATAGTGTTTGCCAATATCTATGGTGTAAATCCTCCCACCAGGGCAGATTTCCAGCTAACACATGGAATTGTTTAACGCAGAATTGGGAAGCAACGCACTGTAGCACACCCTGATAGAACATTCCCACCGATTAGATATGATAGACGAAAATATACTTCAGAAGCACAGATGACAGTAAAATGTTAGTAAAGCAATTAGGAAGCAATGCATTCTGCATATGTTATCTTTATTTTTGACATGGTTTATTTAATTTCAAGTGATTTCATTTAATTTTTAATAATAGTTGTGTTTGACAACTGGCTCTCAAAATTCCTAAAAATTTAGCAGTCAGCTCTTGCAAGCTGGTAGGCTCCGTTCCAGCATCCCATTGACTTGACGTCTCCTTGGGTAGGTCCG